TGGCACATTTACGGGACCCATAGGTAAATAATTATACAAGCCTGGACGGAGTCCTTGGAAGTTTTCACAAATTTGAGATTTGGAAGTACCAAGTTGGCTGGAGGCAACCAAATAATAGTTGGGAATCTACTTCTTACAGGACACCAACATTCCTTGAAAAGGGGGACCAGATTTACTTTGAGATGCCGAACAGCATGATCTCAAATTGGTCAATTTTCACTTGCATAAGTGCAGTCAAGGATTTTTTCGTCCAGCCCAAAGTTGCCTGAATGAATTGAAGAAACATAAGGACTCATACATCAGAGAGAAAAAGGGATTTACATACCTGAACGGCCGATAGTTAACCTCGCACTTTCAAAAATCTTCACAAAAATCAACAATCAGTTGATTTTCCAAGAAACGTTCTAACTGACACGATTAATCACTCTTCTCGCTAGTCAATTTATAAAACTATGGGCTCGATGGATAAAAATAAAGACAAAATTTTAAGATTTTTAAGATTTTAAAAATCTGGCTGGACGACCTTTTCGGTCCCAAAACATAAGAGAAAAGACCAAGTCAAAAGTACCCAAAATGGTTCTGTCCTTCTTTCTTGGTCTGTCAAGCCTGTCGAAATTATAAAAATGACAGCGCTACAGGTTTCTTGGAAATAACCTTAATAACAGAATCTTCGGTATTTGGCTAGGAAAACTAGTCAGAAGAATCATAGGTGTACGAAATAGTACTTTTAAATGAGTCCAAAATATATGAAAATACTTAAGAACGATAAATATATTTTTGTAACATTTCAAATGTTACAACTGGGCCAGGTAATTTTTGTAAGGCACTTCTCGCCGTAAGGGCGTGGCATTAAAAGCATTCGTATCGGCTAGCTAACTATTTTCTTTGTGTAAATTCTTTAATATAAAAATTACCATAAATAGGTGTCTATTATTATTTTGGTCGATAAGATTTTTCGCGCTCTATTCGAGGAGATTTTGTCTAGTTTTAAATGGAATAGTTTGTTAAGAATTAGTATAGTTGCACGGCTTCAGTTTAGTCCCACGAGGTGAGTGTCAAAAAAAACAATGGGACGTACTAAGCGGAGGTGCCGTTCACCAAGTTCTTCGAGTTCAAGTTCTAGTTCCTCAACCTCTTCCAGTTCTAGCAATGACGGTGCTGGCAGATACAAACGGTATTAGACATGTTAGTTCGACACCAGGATTTTCTCAAACAGCAAGTTCGCATCGTACTGATTTGGCGGAGATTCACGACGATAAAAATTTCGAGGATGCTGATGTCTCGCTTACTCCTCCAAATTTGGATGACACTGAAATTGTCAAGACTGTATGTGTTGAATCATCCTCTACCAATCAAAGTAGTCGACCAACGAGTTCGATAAAACGCGAGTCCTATCGCGTTAGTACGACAATCACGCCGCTCTATTGTGCATGACGCAAACGTTGTGCGCAGCCCCTCTTCAAGTAGAAGCTCACATCACACTACCGATTCAACTTTTGCAGCTCAGCAACTACAAATTGAGCAGCTGGAAAATCTTGTAAACCAACTTTTGAGCGAGGAAGGTGACAATTATCACACAAAATTAACAGTCAATCCAAATTGCATTCCTGAATTCAATCCAGCTGCGTCAGATAATTGGATAAAATGGCTATTATAAATCAGTAAGACGAAAAAGTTGTGATTTATCACATGCAAAGTAGGCTAGTTAGTTTAGCGAAAACCTGGTACGATAATCTGGATGACTATAGACATTCTTGGAGTGAGTGGAAGGAGTTGATCACACATGCTTTTCCAGACAGTTACTCCTTGCCTCACACGGATGATCACGTCGAAGTACTTAATGGCTGTAAATTATTCACTACTTTGGACATGGCTAGTGGATACCATCAGATTCCCATGGCGGAGGAGTCAAGGCAGAAAATGGCTCTGTATGCCATTCGGTTTGGTTAACGCTCCAGCAATGTTCCAAAGAACCATGAATAAAATATTGGGCGCCATACGATGGCCTATGGATGATGTTTTAGTGCCATCTACAAACTTTATTTCCGGTTTGATTGCTCTTGCAGATGTCTTGGAGTGTTTCAGAAAATCAGGCGTTACTCTACGGCTTGAAAAATGCATTTTTTTCCAGGAAAGTATCGATTACCTAGGACACGGAATGAGTGCAAATGGTGTACGACATGGTACTGTGAAAATTCAAGCAGTAAAGAATTTTCCCATGCCTCAATATATACACAATGTTCGACAATTTCTTGGACTCTACAGTTAAATCATTTGCTCAAAACGCACGACCATTAACTTTGTTTACTTAAAAATACACTTCATTCATATGGGAAACTGATCAACAGGAAGCGTTTGAAAAATTGAAGTCGATTCTGACTGAAAGACCAGTCTTTGCCATCTATGATCCGAAAGCAGAAACAGAGGTTCATACAGACGCTTCTAAATTTGGATTAGGCGGAATCCTACTACAAAAACAGGAAGACTAAAAGTTGAGACCGGTTCAATATTTCAGCCGACAGACTACCAAGGGAGAAAGCCGATACCATTCATATGAGCACGAAACGCTGGCTGTTGTGAATATTCTCCAACGATTCCGAGTCTACCTGCTAGGACCTGAGTTCAGACTAGTGACAGACTGCAGTGCATTGAGGACAACAACGTCAAAATGGAATATAATTCCAAAAATTGCACGATGTTGGTTGGTTACTCAGGAATATGAGTTCTCAGTCAGGAAATAAAATGGCTCATTTCGATGCTCTTAGATGCAATCCTGTTGAAGAGCCATTACAAAAATGAACGCTGCAGATATTTACTCGAAATGTTGTCTAGAAAACCAGTTGATACGGAAGAAAAACAAATTCACGAAGACTTTACAATTAGGGATCACAGATTGTATAAGCAAACACCTGATGGTATAAGATGGTACTTATGTTCCTAGAGAAGTAAGAAGAGTGGTAGCAATCTATCACCATTACATAACTGCATGTTTAACCTGTGCTTACAATAAGGGTCAATCTGGAAAACCAGAAGGTTACTTGCATCCAATAGAGAATGCAGTGGTGCCACTTGATACTCTACATATAGACCACCTGGGCCCCTTCGTGAAAAGCACAAAGGGAAATTGCTATCTTATCGCTTTTTGTACTTCTACCAAGTTCATATTAGCTAGAGCTGTAAAGAGTACCCAGACAAAACCGGTGATCAACTTCCTAGAGAGTATCTTCAACACATTCGGAGCTCCACGCTGGTTTACCTGTTCGTGAAATTATTCAACATTTCCCACTCACAGGTAAAGCATCTTTTCAACGTCTTGTATAATAAATAACTATTAAATACGGGTCTATTATTATTTTGGTCGTAACATTACTAAATGAATTTTAATAATTCGTTCCCAAATATTTCAAAAGTTTCTTGAAGTGGTTTGTGGTATAAAAGAGCACGATTCTTGCACCACAAAGTGCATCGGCAATATTCACGTCGCCTAGGGCCGCTCGAAAAACTTTCTATTTGCGCCGTCATGGAAAAGTTTTTCTCGGGCGGGCTCCAAATCCTGTTTTCTATTATATTAAAATGGCCTCGGGACGAATTTACCAGTCGCCTTTATTAGTGGGCGAAACTAATTGAACTATAGGGCGAGAGTCGCGGGGACTTTCTTTTTTAATTTCTTTCTGATGGCTTTTTGAGGTGATGCCTTCAGGAAAAAAATATATCGAGGCTGGAGCAATTTTTAATGAAAATCCTGGGAATATTGAAACTCGATGAATATTTGTCAGTTCAGAGATTAAATTTTTATGATAGGAGTGAATGCAAACAATTTCAATAAGTAATAACTACTCAATTGGACAAAGTATTTTCAATCTCCTCAATTTTCTCATATTGATCAATACTATAGTTTGACTCCTTAAACTCTAACAAGTCATTTGAGAGTTTTTCCTGGTTTGCAATGTAATCCTTTTTCACCAACTTTAATATCGTCTTTGTGTCCCGAAAAACCGCAAGGCGACCTTGCGATTTATCAGTAAGTATTGATGTGTGGGTTCATGGTTTATTTAGTACACAATTTTGGGGTTCTTTAGGAAAAAAGCCAGGTGAATCTCAGGTAAAGGGTTCACGTATCAATATCAGACAAGGTGAATCCCAGGCAGAGGGTTCACGTCAGTGTCAGTGACAGATTGTCAGATTATCAGGAGTATCAGTCTCAGAGTATCAGTAAACGTATCAAACCCAGGCAGACGATTTACGTATCAGTATCGGTATCAGGCAATGGGAATCCCAGGCAGAGGATTCGCGCCAGTTTCAGAGTATCAGTAATAGCCGTAGATCTGTGTCTCAGAGAAGCAGTTTTCAGTAGCGAGGTTCGGTGTGGCTATAAGGGGAGGAAGGAGGCCACATCAGGGGAAGCAGGGCCCAATCTCAGTTATGATTACTACAAGGGAAACAGGGCTTCATCTAAGTCATATATAAAGTGTCTTTCCCAACACTTTGATCAACTTGCAATGCCAATTTTCATTCAAATGGTTGATATCAAAGTAATTTGCAAGTCAAGTGAGGTTCCCCAAACGATGTATTTTGATGCTGCCTATAATTTCCAGTACTGTTTGTGCCCGATACTAGGGTGGAAATGTCCATATTTTCACAAAAACCCTTTTTTGGATAAATCGGAATTATTAGTTTTTTAGTCGTCTAGATGGGCTTTCCCAAAAGAGGTAATTTCACTGGACGACACGAAGACTCAAGACACCCAGAGGAGCTTTCCTAAAAGAGGTATTGTGCTGCTTCAAGTCTGCCTATCCGTGTGTTGCCTACCACTATTTATATTCGTTTATCGCTAACTCGCCAATCAATATTAGTCAGTCAATCATATACAGGGACATAAAAGTAGCTTTGCTTGTTGACATCTTTATTTAAGATGTCTCTGGGCTGTCTGGGAAGAAACGTAAAATTTAATTTGCAAAAAGGTTTTGGTTGTTTGAATAAACCAGCTCAAAACAAAATTCACTATTATACAGTTTATTACAAAAAGTCAAATCAATACACGAAAATATATAACTTTGTACAAAACCTTCCTCTGAACAAAAAAAAATATTATATTCAAGTATACACATATTACAATGGCTAAAATACAAATATTGATTGCTGAAACATACAAAATAATAATTAAAAAAACAAAATTAATCACAACCTGATTAGGACAATTAAAATTTAATGGTGTTGCCTTTTTTTATTTCTTATTGCTTGTTTGACAGGAAAAAAAAAGAGTTGGAACAATATCCTTTCCACAGAAAACTACAGAGAAATTAAAATAATTGGTGATTCAACATTAAGGGCTAATAATTAATAAGAGTACCAAGCACGGAATCGTTTGAAAAAATTCCAAACAAATTTGCATCAATAATTCTTTCTTTGTAACATAAGAAACTGGTAAGAGATATTCAACTCAGATTCTGAGTGACGATTTTATTTCCAAAAGTCCAAATTTATTCAAGACAATGTTTTCGAAAATATTCCAGCTTTCAGAATGACTTTCAATTAGCAGTTATTTTTATTTCCAAATCCGTATTACATGTTTCTTATCCCAGAAGTTAATTTTTGTCTTGTATTCTAGTCAATTATTCAGTATTTAATTGGAATAGTTATCTATTCTCGTTATCAATTTGCCTTTCAATAAATGCACCATTATTTTTTTTTTCTTTTGTACCATCAATCTCTGAAAAAAGTGCCTGCTTTTTCTAAAGAAATTTTGATGTTTCTTGTCTTTCTCACTAGAATTTTTACCATTAATGTTTTCAGAAACATCTTTTTAATTCAAATTTCCAGAAATCACTCTCCGTCTTTAGTATTTATAGGATTTTTCCTTGTTTCCAAATTTCAGTCTGAACAAGTTAATTTGTCTCTGAGTATTGTAGCTTTTTCAAACGATCCTGTGCTCATATCTCCAGACACTTGAAATGAAAATTTCGGACTACTGTCATGAAACTTTATCACATTGATAGCTGAATAATTAAATAAATTATAAATATTTTATCATATTATTATATCTAAAACCCCTTGCAATATTATAAGAATGAAGATTTCAAACCTGATTCAATGCTAACAGATGAAGCGCAATTATTTTTATTTTTCTTCTTCTGTCAATAATAATTGCAAAATAATGAAAAATAAAAATACCTTAATAACTGTTAATGAATAAACCAGGCAATTATTATTGGACTAATAACCCAGTGGACGTTTTTGTCCGATATAACTAAAAAAAAATTATGTAAACCTAAAAATGCATGCCCCAAAAAATATTCATGAATTTTTGTTTGGACAAATAAATCCATGGGTTGTCCAAGATACCTAGACCTTCAAAAGTTGGAGATTAGTGCCCCAAAAGCAGCCAGAGACACTTATATCAATCTCGTGACCTATACAATACCAAAATTTAATTGCGGACCATGTTAAGACTAAAATGTATGTACATATTACAATAATAATTATTCATCGATAAACTGTGATGTGACATTAACCAATTTTTGTTTTTTGTAAAAATATACATTGTTTTGTATATAAAAAGAGTCCCTGTAATGTAACCCTTTGTTATTGTGCACAGACTAGTTAAAAAATTGAGCTCAATTTCAAGAAAGACAAAATATATACAGCTATAATAGAAAAAAAGTTACTCAATTCCTGGTTATCGGCCGACAAAGAAAACTAAAGGCACTGTTCAGACTAGAAACAATTATTAATCCATTCCTCTTCTACTCTTACCCAACGTCGTCAGACTTTCCTCATAAATAGTACCTAACCAACACAACCAAAAATGGAATCTCAAAGTGCTAATAAACCAAAAAGTACATAAAACACTGGTAAATCGAAAGGAACATTCGCAAATGGAAATATGTTGAGACAATGAAAAATATATGCAACACAAGGAACCTCAAATAGTCTTGAACCACCGGTTTTGGTTCGTTGTAACGGGTGCGACTGTACTCTGGCGGTATCGACCCTGTATCATAATAAATTTGAAGCATGGTTTCTTTTTCTTCCCATCTTAAAACAAAATAAAATTATTATTGCAAATGGAAAAAAGTAAAAAATGATTTACCTTTTAAACAACCATTGTGTCATAGCTTCAGAATCCTCAGGTATCTCAGTAGCTCTATAAACCCGATAAAAAACAACTGTATCGCATGGGGCCCTATTCCCAAACGTAATATGGCTCAAATCTATTGGCACCCCTTTAGGATAAGCTATAGTTATGTCCAAAACATACTCTATTCCAGCACTGTGTGGCTCCTTTTTATTGCTTGCGTTATTATTTACAGGCGACTGAGGTCCTACAGTGCTCATGATGGTTTTCAGGGCGCCCACCCTGGGCAAGGAAACGTGTTCGAATTTGGGCAGGTTATTTTTCTCCGCGTATCTGTGCGATATGGCTTTGCGTTTACGTAGGAATCCGCCTTCGGGGAATAAGACGAGCCATTTACGGTCGAGGCCTATGTAGCTGACTTTCAGGTGTTGGGCCAGGTCTATTAGGCCTTTTTCACGATTTTCTTTACCCTGAAACAAGGAGAATTGAATGGTTAGTTTTTGAATTTTGCAGTAATATACACTGTATTTTTCATTCACTTGTATATTCCAGGCATCAAATATGACAATCTTTCATAAATTGACTAATATGTTAAAAACTATAAAAGCCACAAATATGAAATTTTCTGGTATCCTTTATAATGCATTAGAGCAGGATATACCAAAATTTCAAAGCAATTGAACAAAGGACACAAAAGTTACAAATTTATAGTTTTTGGAGGGATGAAAGATGACAATCTTACATAAATGGGGTAATTTCTCAAAAACCAGAAGAGTCATAAATATTAAATTTTCTGGTATCCTTTATAAGACATTAGAGCAGGAAATATCAAAAATTTAAAGCGAATGAACAAAGGACACAAAAGTAACAAAGTGATCTATACAGATACATAGAAACCATGTGGTTTAAGGAAAAGCACCAGATCTTTTCGTTTTTAAGCTGCATTTGGACTGTTTTGAAATATCCTTTTCTTTTTTCCAAAGAACTAACAGTACATTTCCATCAAATTTAGTTTCTGTTAGTAAATGCAATCATCATAATCCACGTGTCTGCTAACAAAGACAAATATTTGCCTATACCTATTCAGTGGATTATCAAAAATATAAAACAGAGAATCTTGCACAATAAATTTTATTGTTTAGAGATTCCAAAACTCGAAAATTATTTCCAAAATAATAAAAAAACAACTTAAATGGGCGGATACTTCAAATATAGGTATACCAAAATGAGTAATTAATCATCTTTTTTTTTGTAGAAAACTCATTAAGTACAACTGATAAAAGTGTACCTTGAAATAATATTTATCTGGTGCTTAATTATTGTCAATCCATAAATTATATTTTTTGTGGATTAACCTACTTATGTGTTCATTCCTCGAGATTACTGAATTTTTTTAACCTCTTGACCTGATCACCACACAAATCGGAGTCTAAAGTTTATTAAAATCATGAATTCTTCTATGTAAGTAGTATTGAATAATGCAATAATTATTAAAATATGAATACGTAAAAGTCAAGGACTTTTTTTTTACGAAATAGATACTGTTATCATGTAATTTACAATTATCATGAGTGATTTTGGGAATTTTTTAATTTTTTTTTCCTAACACGTTTTCATGTTTACTCATAAGTCATAAATGATCCCTAAGCTCTCTGTTTTTTTTTTAGCAGTTATATCACCTAATTATGTTGTTTACTGTAGTGTGATTACATTGAAATTAAGAGTATTTTCAGCTCTAAATTGGTATTGCAAAAATTGTAATCCACTCCATTCAAAAACTTGAAAACTACTTACCGATTTAATAAAAAAATCCTCATGCAAATAACTAACAATACCAAAGTTAGTATACTTGAACAAACTGTCCATTATCCACATTATATTAGGCAAAACGTGTTTGCGACTATTGTAGCAGGAAAAAAGCATAGGAACGTCAGCTGTTGATTGGTGATTGGCTAATATTAGGGTCCGTTCTTCTAGACATTTTGTTATATCGTCTCCAGTTTCAACAACTAAAAACTCAATCTCAATTTGATGTAACATTTCCTGACAATTATTCTTACCTTTGTATCCGGCAGAATCGCACCACAAAGACACCATGGCCAGGAGCCAATGGAAAATGTAGCCTTCGATTTTCCAATACAATTGTGGATTTACTTGCTTTAAAGGTAACAGTAGTACCATCCATATCGCATAGGTGGGAATGCAATATAAGTTATTTGCTACAATAAAGGTGAGTCTTAGGAATCCTTTGACTATTTGAGGGAGATCACTGAAAATAAGAGTTTCAAATTAGGAAAAGATGCATTAGTTTGTTTTTAATTTTTATTATGCTAAGCCCGAGGCTAAAGGGTCATTTACATCCACTTAACTTAACATACGGAAAATTAATACATAATAAAGAAAAAGATCATGTACTATACATCGAGACTATACATAGTTGTTTACATCCACTTAAAAATTAATGCCACACAGAAAAGTTGGGCCAACTTCAACATTAGGAACTCCGTGTGTTAATTTCTGTTTCTGTGTTGAAAATTTCAGCTCATTTGAACTTACAGTTTACAGTTTTTACAGAAAAAAAATCGCGTTAAGCAATCTGGGGTGAATTTATCAATTTTTCAATTTCCTGGCACTCTTTTTTCATAGATTTTGGTTCCAATTCTCAGAATAATTAAGTGTATGGAGTTTTGGGGGTCCCGAATGATGATGTAAACACAAAATCTCAACATAAAAAAATTCGAAATTTCATCATTTTAGTAATTACTAAGGTAGCTAGCTTATGATTTAGATTTTTAGAAACTTCAGAAAATCATAACTGTTTTTCTATTATAGATGGAAAGCTGAAATTTTCAGCTATTCTTATCCTAGTAAAGGACTACAATCTCTGAAAATTTCAGCTCATATGGACTTATAGTTCCAGAAATAAAACCGCATTAAGCAATTTGGTAGGACAATAAAGAAAACTAGGTACATATTGTAAAATTTTCTGTAATGTATAAAAAATCTAATAAATTCATTTTATCTCTGTAGAAACTCTTGTAAAAACCATTCTAATCTCATAAGAAATGTAAAATACCTTTCATACATTCATTACGCCAACTATAAATGAAAATGCCGCCTATTGGTAGCAAGATGCCATGTGCACGACATGCATTGTAAAACTGATTCCAACCTGCAGGGACGCGGCATTTTGCGACCAATCAGGGCCAAGCGTTATTGTTTATGTTTCAAAGTTTTCAATGTCAAAATCCATCTTGAGAACAAAATTCACTTAAGTACCATCCTAGGTACCATCACTTAGGAGATTTCATGAAAAAACCTGAGAAGATGTTTAAAAAGTCAAACATAGAAAAACTAAACTTAATGAAGTATGACAAAAAGCGAGGGGTGATTCAGGGTCAGAAATAGGTGTACAAATCTCAAAATAATTTCCGGAAATGTTGAGAATGTATGGAAATTTCCTGTAAATTGTCAGAAATTATGTTAATTTTCAGAAATTATAGGAAATAGAAATTTTATGAAATGTTTATTCAAAATATGGGGAACTTATTCGAAATTATAGATTTACTGAAATTATTATTGGAAATTATCACCAGAAATCTTTGAGAATTTTTATTGTTTAGTTTCTGTTGGGTGTTTTGTGAATAAAAGTAACCAACTGGTAACAAAATAAAGGTTTGTATAAACAAATATCATGAACTAGAAGTATCACAGTATATGTAGGTATATCAAGATTTTTACCCTTTGAATCTGACACGCAATGCTAAAAAATATGAGCTTTTTGAACCGAATCGAGCCATAATAAGGGTTGATTGGTCGCTTTCATGTTTCATGTTAAATAATCATTTTTTGAACTTTTCAATAAGGATGATAGGATATATGAACAATCAACACAGTAGAAGGTGTAGAAGCTGGGATATGATGAAAGCATAGAAGATGAGGTAACTAGATAGTGTGCTACAATCGACTAGGCACTGGAAATTTTTTGTTTCAGAAATTTCATGGGAAATCAGAAATTATTTGGGGAATTTAAGAAATTATCGAGGAAATTATTCAGGAGGTTTCATAAATTATTTAGGAAATTTTAGAAATTATAGGAAATAGGTACTTACTTTAAAAAAAATCTGAATATTCAAGAAATTTCGGAAATTATGGGCAATATCAGAAAAACATTTCCAAAAACGAAATAGGTATACAAAATTTACGAGCGTGAGACACCTCTTGACAAAAAGTAAAAACATGGAGAAAAACTTTAAAAAATGGTTTGCATATAACATACCTAAGTAAGTACCTACATAATATCTCCATTTATAAATTTATGTCCAAATAAATATCAAAATTATTGCTGATATCTACAGGGTGTTCCTTCCAAAACAAAAGTATCACATTTCACAGCTAAATGTCTCAAAATTAGGAAAAGATTAGTAACAATTTAGGTATGATTTGCACTAACAAAGTTTTTTTTGCTAGTTACCACCGAGGGGTCAACCACTTACAAATGTACAATAATTTTCACTTATCAATAAATCTCATGTATTCCCATCCCAAGAATTACAACTGCTTGCCAATGATTATCAGATATTTTTGTATGATTACCAGGTGATTTCCATTTTTTCTGGGGATTCCTATATCATTTCCAATTGATTACCTAATTTCCTCGATGATTTCCTACAATCATCTGATTTCCAGCTAATTTTATTACGAAATTACGAAAACGATGTTTAATTGTTGAGCTTCACATTGATGTGACCCTCGATATGACCAAAATAAACAGTCTTATCTCTTATAAAAACATGTTTCCACTGAAAATTGGCAAGTTCTGTATTTGCAACTCCTCAAAAAGTTAGCAACTCTTATTTTAAATCATTTTTGTCATTCACTAACTCAAACTAACCCACATCGATTTTGATATAGGTATAAATAATTGTTGAGACCTAGATACCACTGCGTGTCTACACTGCATAATATTATGATGGATCTAAAATAATGCATATTTCTTTGATTTCACTAGGATGTTCATTTGGATCAGAGACATCTTCAGTTAGGGTTTTACTCGACAAACTTATTTCTAATTCAGATGTGCTATCGTCTCGGCTTCTCACCCTATTATTTATTCTACTTTCCGTTTTCTGAGTTCTTATTGCCTTGGATTCCCGACTTTTTCTTTTGCGTCTTTCTCAGAGACATGCCCATAGCTCTTAATACTCGACAAACGTCCCTGCTTCTCTGAAAAGAACCAAATTGCAGTTGAGCCCTGAATAATCTCTCAATTTGTAGTGAATTGCAATTGCTGAACCTTGATGTGTGAAGAAATTCTGTGTCTTCTTTTGGTAAGTCGGATTCGAGAGAAGGTTTCAAGATTCATGTTTTCATTTTTATAATCTTCATGGCGATCTACGTCATACTTTAGGTCTGTTCTCACAGAAATCACAAACCAGTCAGAGCGAATTTCATTGGTTGAAAATATTCAGAAAACTGGTTGTGGGCGATTTGCACCAATCAAATACGCTCTGACTGGTTTGTGATTTCTGTGAGAACAGACCCAATCTTCATCTCATTCTTCTTCTTCAAGTTCTAAACTCTTCGTAATTTTGGGTTCAGTTATTGGCTCAGTTATTGGAAAACTCGGCATATCGAATTTATTTCATATTATCTAGCACTCAATGTTGCTTAGAACTTAGGCTTAAAGGCAAATACACAACTCACCGGTACGCTGAATCGTTTACAATGTATAATATGCGATTTCTGGGTTAGAATGAGATTATATTCCCAGTGATTACCACATGATTTTCAGCGATTGCCAATAAATTCCTATGTGATTCCCATGGAGTCCTATAGGAGATTCCTAGCAATTCCCAGGGACTCCCAAGTAATTTCCGTGTATTTCTGATTGATTACTATGTGATTCCTGAGAAAATGTACAATGATTTCCACTACATTTTTTTTCCAAACCAGTGACTCTTTGCTAAATCAGTAAATTAAGTGGAACATTCTTTTTTCACTCATGTGATTGTCGCACTCGCCTTCGGCTCGTGCGTTAAACTTCACATTTGTGAAAAAAGGTTCACTTTACACACTTGTTGCATAAATAACTATTTTTCAATCATTTTCGTTTATTAGTCGTTGTCTACCTTCATTTTACCTTTACAGGTTTAACTTTGACATTTGTCAAATCACCAAAAAGTTGCCCCTCGTTTTTATTCTCATCGGTGACTTCACGGATGAGTTAGCTATCTTTGTTTAGTGAATGGAAAATGACAATGACGGCCATAGAATGATGGATCCATCGGTAAAATTTTGATGAGAATAAAAGCGCAGGGTTTTGTTATGAATTCATAACCTAGTCCATAACACCACTAGTTGTTTTATGAATTTATAACCTAGTCCATAACACCACTGTTCTGTTATGAATCTCATGACATAACTCAAATACTAGAAAAATGGTTATGTAAAAACGTCATAACCAAACGCTTCTAGATAAAATTATTGATTTGAATAAAATAGTTCTTAGAAAATTATTTATTGGCTGTTGAACCAGTTTCCAAAATGTCATGCGATATTATAGTTTTTAATCAATAATGATTACAGTTCTAAATATCACGAATAGGTTCTCGGTGCTCCTAGTCCTAGCACATTATATAAGTAATTTTTCTAATAATAAGGATATAAATCAGCTGTACACAGGCATAAATTAAATACAAATTAATGACTCAACTGGCCTTGTCTTTGGAAGGCAACACAAAAGGTTATATAATTTAACATGCATGCATAATAAATAAGCAAGACTTTAAAAAAAATTTAAATAATATAATATTCAATGAAGAATCAATTAAGTATTTATTGTCAGCCTTGATTTTTCATTGATAAAAAAATAATTAAGGCGAGAATTAAGGTACTTACAAATGCTCCATTTTTTTGTTGCTTTCTTTGCTATATCATCACCCACAACAAATCACGTCACTGATAAAAATAAATTGCAATTTTCCGGTGTATTTTTCTCAATAATTGTTGTTTGTTTTCTGGGTATTGTTCTGCAGTTTCCACCAAATTGCCAATAATCGATAAATAAAGTTTTTGTGTTTTTTTTTTTTGAGACGATTGCAGCCTGTTATTTACGTTATAACCGAAGTGTTTTTATTGATAAAAAAAAACTATAATTAACCATTTTTTTTTGCAACATATCAATCAAATGAGTCTTATCAACGCCTCGAGAACTACTTTATTAATTAACTAATTAACGCACTATTCACTGTTCCACAAGTACTCAGATCACTCAATGATAATTACGACTGACGAGGACTTATTATTTCAATAATACAAAATAAAATTGATTTTACTTTGATAAAAAATAATTTTCTGATGTTTTCATTTGCTTCAATTTTTCCCTGGGGAAAAAATTTTTTTGAAGCTGTCACTTGCCAGTCACCCGCGGTGTTGCCAAATTATAATTTAGTTCGTTAATTTGAAAACAGGTGGCACATTCCTAAGCGTTTTCATTTGTCATTGTAATTATTCTAAAATTAGAAATATTTGTTCTGGAGCCAGATTAACATATTCTAGGTTTCGGATCAAGAATTTTTTTTATGAAAACTGAAATTTTGCACACCCCTCTCGGAGATACTACAACCGGTTTTCGTAATAAATTGAAAACCCCTTTTCACTCGATCTTAAATCAGCTGATAATGACAGATCCAACACGTGTTTATTTGACAGTGACGTGTACAAAAAAAATTATTAAATGGAACACCTGACAGAGGTGAAAAAGTAAATATCCAAAATGTTAGATTTATTTACAATTTTTAGCAAAGGCGGCATCGTTTTGTGGTATTTCCAAAGCACTAGCCAACTATTCACCTCCTCGGTCAATGCCCTAATACAGAATGTCATTTTGCAGGTAAATATATTGAGAGATTTAAAAAAATATGTTGCTCCAACCGAGACTCCAACCCTATTTTTGTATTTAGGAAAGACCTACAAATACCTACGAGGACAACGGCCTTTTGCTGCAATACAAATTAGACAACGAATTCGATCTGGTTTTTATAGTGGCCTATCAGAAAATCTTACAATTAAGTTATGTAGACAAGTTTTTAAACGACGTCCACTTGGAGTTTAGAGACAAATACAAAAATGACCTGGCAGACAAAAGGTATTTTCAACAATTCGACTTTTCGCAAACCTTTAAAGCCGTACTACAAAGAGCGGAGGAATGGGGCAAGACTCAAGCGAAACTTCCTAAGCAAATGAAAACTTTTGATGAATCTGTAAAGTCTAAAAAAACCGTAGCCTCTATGATTGAAAGAAAAGGCGAAGAAAAACCTATTAAAAAGGAAAAGAAGAAAGGAGTCGTGTTTTCAGAAAACGAATGTAATATCAAATGCCATTGTTTCACTAATTATTTTAAATTATAATATGTATATTTCAGGTATTGATATTGAATCTTCATCCCCAAAACCCCAAAATGGTAGTGCAGAAGAGGACATCATAACTGCAAATAGGCTTAAATTTGCTGCAAAGATGAGTCAAAAGAAAAAGGGAGATGTCAAGTAAGTAACACATAGTATAGCACTACAAAAATAATAGTGATGATGTTTTTTTTTTCACTTAGAAAAAGTCCTAAAAGTCCTACAAGTGCCACTAGCCCTACTCAACAGAAAAAGGGCAAAGCGGCTAGGATTTGGGAATTGTCAGGCACTAACAAAGATGTACAGAATTTGGAGAGGACAGTGGACAGACCTGAGGATGCTAAGAGTCACTTTACACCTGATACTGAAGTAAGTTTAATTCAATTTAATTTGAAATTGTGTTGTATTATTCAAGAACTAATCTTATTATTCAGAGCTACAACTCTTGAAAATTTTGATTCTATATGTCTCACACACAAGATATTGAAGCTTAAAGATTTTGAAATAAGAATCTAAAGGGGTTGGTAATGTTGGTATTCTTTGAAAAAAATTCAAATTTCAATTTTTTATATTTTCCGAATTTTGATTTTTTCAATAGATACAGCGGTTCTGAATTAGTCAAAAAAAAAAAAAAACAACATCATTATTTGACCAATTTAAAGAGAAAAAAAATCGAAAAAAAAATTTCATTTCTTGGTTCTATTTTTTTTTTTAATCATGACAAAGTTAAGAAAAATTTCCAATTGTAGTTCTATTAAAATTTGAACAAATGTCATGTTTTAGATGTTAAACATAGAGAAATATAATAGTAAAATGCGTTTTAGGGCCAAATTACAGTATATCTGCATCTGCAAATTTGCAGTTCTGCAAATATGGCCGACTTGCAATTGTGCTCTATTTGCAGAAACAAGCAAATTACAGAAAAAAATCTGCCATTTCGTCATATTTATCGGAAAAAGTGTTTGGGCGCTACTGATTTACCATATTCAAATGCCAAAGTTGTCAAAGTGATTGCAAGGACTTGCGGGACCGTTTCACCATGCGCAAATTTGCAGGCGACTTGTAAATGCGTTCTGCTTCTGTAATACGAAAAGTCAGACTTGCAGGTCCTGCATTTGTATCTTGGTGTTGCAGAGCTTCTGTAATTCCGGGCTTAGTAAACTACGAGAGACGTTTGTTTAATGTAACAATCTGGAAGTGTGTTTGTGCACATACCCGTAGCGTATTTCGCATGGTGTGGTCATGGGCGTCGTTACGAGGTTTCTCAGGGGGGGGGGGGGGGGGGGCAGTATTATAATAAGACCATTTCCATTAGCGCCGCAGGCAACCACTGTAGGCTAATTTTTTTTTTTTGTACCACGCCCCTTTTTGAGCATTTTAAGGTACTTAGTTGATATCGATATTTAGTTAAAAATGATGGTATTTTTTTCCGCAACAAATTCACTGTCCGCATCATTTGTTCAGTGGCGACGCCAGGGGAGGGCCAGCAGAGGAGGCCGGGGCAGCCACTGAAATTTAGCCGGCCCCCCCCTGAAAACTTGCTCTCATGTCGGCAAGAATGCAATGTAACATCAGCAGCCTCTGTCGGGTAATGAGATATTCGGTGAGCACAGGCCAAGAAACGTAAACTAACAGGAATTCTCATCCTCATAAGGCGTACGTTCGTCAACTCTCGAGTCGGCAGGGCCTGCGAGTGACGTCACTACTAATTAGCAGCATAACAGCTTATAATGATGACGGGACCCGCAGGCCTCGATGGGATGCTTGCGATTCAGGTTGTGCTTGTTTTTTCGTCAATTTTAAATGTAGAAAAGGTGATTTTATTTCATTTCATTTCATAGCATTTATTTGTTCCATAATTGTAAATATAAAGAAAATTATCACAAAAGCCCTTTCGGACATAGAACGTGTCAATTTAAAAATACCCTAATCCAACAATACAAGCCAAATATAAATTGAATTGACTGTTTTGAGTTTAAAATCATAAACAAGTTAAGTCACGAGCACATTTAAGAAAAAAAGAAAAAACAACATTTATACAATACTACACATTAAAATATAAAATATAAGAATATAAAAATACAATATAAAATAAAATACAACATGAAAATACACTATAAAATACAATACTGAGCATCAGAATACATATATTGGTTTGAACCTCATTTCAATTTTCGTTGTTCAAATTGTCCTCATACAATTCCTCCACCGAGTAGTAAGCCCTCTGAAGTAAGTGGTTTTTCAACTTATGTTTAAGGTTATCGAATTGCAAGCTTTGCCAATTTGAAGGTAGCTTGTTGAAAATTTTTATAATTGAAAATTGAACGTTTTTTTGTATGTAAGTAAAATTGCTTCTCACATTGACAAGATCAGTCCTTCCCCTTGTATCATAGCAATGCCCCCTAATGTGCTCAAGAAAAAGGTCAGGATTTTGCTTAACAAACAATGCTGCTTCCAACAAGATTATAACGATTACTGTGACCTGTGACTGTTTTAAACTCGGCTAATGCATTTTACGCTAAGTGTTGAGGTGTTCGGCTGGGATGGCAGACATTTTCAGCTCAAGAAGCAGTCCTATTAGGTTGAGTGTTCTTGGGCACAGGCACCTACGATGCTGCTTTCGGTTTCCTGGGATTACCTCAAACATAATAGTGTCGACAGGTACTTCCCATTTTTTATTTCAAAGAAGAAAAGCAGTAAAATAAAAACCTTCCAAAATTTTTCTGCCCCCCCCCCCCCCCCCCCCCCCAAACGACGCCCATGGGTGTGGCAGATTATTGAACTAATTACTTCGATTTTGTCAGCAACTTGCCCGAAAATGTTCTATCTTTTTTTAATACATACAAAATACAAAATTTGACAAATGATTGAATCCAAAGACCCATCAATCAAAAACTGAATGCTCCATTGCTCACAATCATAACGTAAAATTTCTTCTATTATTTATATTAGAGAAATGAGAAAACATTCTGTGATCATAAATGTTAATTAATTAGACAAAACCGACACCAATGATAGTGTGTTTTTGAATTTGCGATGATGCGAGATGCAGTAAAAAGGTAAACACAAAGCTTATAATACAAACATTTTTAGTTACTGTATATTTGTAAAATTGGAATAAAAAAATAAGTTTGTTTGAAGATATCTCAATTTTTGTATTGTTCAATTACCTCCTTGACCCCCTTAAGGAATCTCATTGCATCTAATTTGGATTTTTTAAAAATAAGTTCTGTTATCGTTCTAAACAGTTGCTCGGTAAATTTTAGCAAGTTTTTTCAACAAATGTTTTGCATTGCAATTAACTGTTTTGAGCGTTTACAGTACTTTATTTTTAATAAATCTTAAATAAAATCAAAGTTAATAATTTAAATATTTAAAAAAGCCACCTTTTCACTGTCGGTAAAGAAGAAACCTGCATTCAAACAATGTTCACTCTTTTATTGCTGTCCGTAGCCACCAGGGGCGCTAACGTCGACATTGTGCCAGTTAAGTACAGGGGAATGACTTCTCTCGTGGTTTACTACTATTATATTTCTCTATGATATTAAATAAACCTAAAGTCTTTTTTTTTTAACCCTTTATCGGGCAAAATTTTCCTAAGACTATTTTATTCAGAAAATGCTAGTTATGTAGTCTTTTGGAAACAAGAAAAGATAATTTGTCACTAGAAATCGAGTTTTCAATTTTTTTCGTTCCTATATTAGGCGGTAAACCATTTTACCAGAGGCCATTTAGGACTTAATATGTAGGTAGTGTTCTCTGGTACAAACCCTATACCACACCTTCATAAATAATGCAATAATAAAATGAATTTCTGCGGGATCAGAATAAAAAACACAATAGCTTTCAAAAAGAGTTATAACAAAAACGAAATATACAATAACTAAAGAAAAATTACATCAAACTCTATAACAAATGAACATTCCCTATCTTACTTCCATATGATCCTAAATAAGGTCCTAAAATTTTCCTAATCATCAGATATTGTGAAAACTGGATTGACAAAATCAAAAACAAATCAGAAAAATATTATAATAAGAATTAGTGCGATATAAAATTGTTCATTATCGTTTTTATACCACAAAACATGGAAATAATGTTGAAATTGTATACATTCGAAAGAAAATATGGAAAAATTTTCCTAGCGGAAAAAGAACAGAATGAAAAGTTGATCGATATTTCATGGAGACATGTATATGAAGCATGTATCAAAATATGAATCTTGAACTAGGAGTAGAACTTATAGAAAAAATAATTCAAAATGTACACAAAATTCACAAAATAAGTTCCAGGTTGAGAATATGTATAGTTTTTTACTAAATAACTGAGTACAGCATTAGAATTTTGAATTTATATCTATTCAGTATACATATATAGATGATAATTACATATTTGATTCGTCAAAATCCCTTCCGGATTATAAATATTAATAAAAATATGAATTGAAGTACATAAAACAACATAATTGATGCTTCTCGAGTCCCACTGGTATACAGGGTGATTCAAAAGTAAGCGGCAACCTTTCGGGAGCGTATTCCTTGCATAAAAATAAGACAAAAAGCTCCTATTAACATGGGTCCGGAAATGCTTCCTAAGGGAGCTACGCCCCTTCGAATAGGACACTTGAAAGACTTATTTTCTCTATAACTTTGAAACCGTTCACCAATGGATTTTGAAAATGGGTGTATTTTATGAATATCTGATGGCAATTAAGATACTAAATTGAAAATTCAAAAACCTTAATCAGTGGCGTCACATACTGGGGAGGGTGAGGGTTAAAACATCCCTATTTTTTTTAATCGTCAGGTTTTTGCGATTCTGATTGAAAATTCAAAAAGTTTAGAGTTTTTTACACAGAAAAGGTACCCTTGGTTCAATTCGATACAGCTCACCGTTTACGAGAAAATTGACTTTGAAAATTTTCTGATTTGCGTATGTTTCGCAAAAACCTGACGAGTAAAAAAAAATAGGGATGTTTTCACCCTCCCCAGTATGTGACATTGATTAAGATTTTTGAATTTTTAATTTAGTATCTAAATTGCCATCAAATGTTTATAAAATATACCAATTTTCAAAATCCATTCGTGAAGGGTTTCAAAGTTATACAGAAAAACACGTCTTTCAGGTGCCCTATTTGAAGGGGCGTAGCTCCCTTAGGAAGCATTTCCGGACCCATGTTAATAGGAACTTTTTGTCTTATTTTATGCAAGGAATACGCTTCCGAAAGGTTGCCGCTTACTTTTGGATCACCCTGTATATGGTGTACCACTTTCAAAAATGCGACCGCATCCAGAAAAATCTTGTAATAAACTGACGTCGGACACTAACGTATATTGAATGACGATGTTTTTAGGATGCATTAAAACCAGATTTTCAGGTTATAATAAGGAATAAACAAGGTGGTACTAGGTTTACACCAGAGAACGTTAAAGGGTTAAAGATAATTCCCCAAGTCAAAAATTTAGTAACTATGTTGGTAACGCAAGCCTTTTCTACACAAAAAATTTGAAAGCATTGACAATTTTACATTGTATTGCCAACATAATGTCATTTTGACTTTTATCTTTAAAAAAAAAAAACAGATTTTAATAAAAATTAATTACTAGGTTTATTGAAATCACAAAACTTGACAGAACGCGCACTTGACATGGAATCTCATACAACAGAATAGTCACTGATATCCCTTTTTTTCTACAGAACAAAATGTGACTAATATATTAAGTTCAAGGACCAAAATCATTCAGATATGTAGGGGCTTTTACAATACAACCAGACCTTGAAATTTTACGTTGTTCTGTTTCTGATAGTCTCATATCAGTAACATTAGTATTTTTCTCTTGTTTTGTGTTTTTAACAGATGTAAGTGAAAATTGTTTGTCATTTAACTACATTTTCCTGAGTAAAAAAAATAGAGAAATTTTTTGATGTACATACTTTGTTTATGTAACTCATCAAAATCTAGTTGCAAATCAGTTTCCAACTTTTCATGAGCAGATGCTCTATAAATATTAAAACGATTTCTCTCCCAACATTACCACTAGAAAGTCTCAACCTATAACTTCTAGGTCTATCTGCTTTACCAACAACTTTTGCGGTGTCATATTGTTAACCGTTATCTTCAATATACACAATCTCACTATTTTCAAAATTCAAAGGTTTACTATTAGTTTTCAGGTCATAATAATATTTATAATTTTCTTGCCGATCTTGAGAGATTCAACTAACTCAAGATCATTACTTGTCTATGTCTTGAAGGTTTCAGGGGTAAAAAGGCATTTAAATTTCTACCGAAAACAAGTTCACTTGGTGATTTATCGATCGGAGTATTTCTGTACTCAATCAAAGTCATGTATAAATCAGTACCTGATGTTCTGCTTTTTTCAAAAGATTCTTAAAAGTTTGTACATTCCTTTCTACCATCTCGTTTGATTTAGGATACCGTGGACTAGACGTTACATGTTTAAATTTCCAACTTTTTTCAAAATCCAGAAATTTATGATTGGAAAAATCGAGGGAAAAATGATGTGTAAATTGAGTTCCACAGTCAGAATATAAATATTTAGGAACTCCAAATCTTGCAAAATGACTTTTTAAATGTACTACCATATGTTCCGTTGTTTCACGAGCTGATTCCCTCATTTAAATGCATTTTGAAAAATAATCTACTATCAAAAGAACAGATTAAAATAGTAAATATCTATACCAATGCTTTCCCATGGTAAATTAGGAACTTCTCGAAACAACTTTTTTTCCTTTATGAGTTTTTTGAAATTTCAAACATGTATGACAATTTCTAATTTTATCTTCAATTTCCTTAATCATAAAAGACCAATATAATATACATCTCGCTCGGTTTTTACATTTTTCCAATCCCAAATGACTTAAATGAATTAAATTTAACATTTCTTTTCCCAGGTTTTTTGGAACTAAAACACGAGAATCTTTAAATATCAGATCATTAGAAACATATATAAGTAGATTATCTTTCATTGAAAAATAAAATCTCAATTCATTTGAAACTTGATTAGCAATTCAATATAATTTTTTAAGGCAACTATTTCTGAATCAGCCGCAGTTTTTTTCTGAAATAGTTTTAATATTTCGTCAGAAAAAGATAAATTTGACATATTCTTTCAAAGTTGTCTCATTGGCAAAAATTTTGGAATATAAGTTATCATACTTAAAATGGTCTGTTATTCTTTTTTATTTTTTGGTACCTCAAGAGCCAGAATAGCTTGCACTTTGTCATTATCGGGTTTCAGTCTTTCCGCACTAAAAACATGTTCCAAATATTTCATCTCTCTTACTCCAAACTTGCATTTGCTTTTGTTGAACTTTGCATTAGCACTTCTTGCTCTTCCAAGTACATTGATCAATTTCTTTAAATGATCTTCTTCACTTTCACTATAGAATAAAATGTCATCTATATAAACTTGTACGCCAGGCAAGTCTCCAAAAATCTTAACTAAAGTTCGTTGGAGCACTTCAGGTGTTGAGCAAAGGCCAAATGGCATTTTCTTATAAAAATATCTGCCAAATTTACCTGCATTAAATGTTGTTAAAAGTTGATTATGGTTATCCAGCTTAATTTGATAGAATCCTTTATTCGCATCAAGGGTTGTAAATATTGTAGGTCTTCCCATCTTTGAAACCACTTGTTCAAAAGTTGGTGAATCATATCGTTCACAAATAATATTTCCATTCAGATTTTGGGGATCTAAACATATTCTTAAAGAATTATCGGGTTCTTTTACTACAACCATTGAATTCACCCATTCTGTTGACTGACTTTTTTAATGATTTCCATTTTCTCCATTTTTCAAAATAAATTAGGCACTATTAGAAAGAGCATCAAATTCTCTATAAATATGTGCTAAATTGAGTTTGGAAGCTCAAATACTTTTTGAGCAATTGACCCTCAAAGTTGAAATTTAGTCAAAAATTCAAACTCAATTTTCTCAAAAACCTGAAAATATTTTCCAACATAGGTTTTTTAAGAGCTTTATAGAAGCTACAATTCCTGAAAATTTTGATTCAATATCTTTCACGGACTTCCAAATATTGGAGCATAATGATTTTAAAATAAGAATCCAAAAGGGGTAACTCTAAAAAAAAAAATTGAAATTTTTATTTTTTATATTTTCCCAATTTTGACTTTTCCAATCGAACTTACTAACTCTTTCTTAAACTTTTTCTCCACTTCTGAGGCTAAAATTTAATATGAGGGACTCTGCTAGTCCTTTCCATTGTTTCTTTAATTTTCATAGCCAAAGAGGCAATTTTTCTCTCAATACTAATACGAAAATCAATTCAGATTGTAGGACAAATGAAAGGTGTCATCAAAGATTTGGAAGTCGAATCTTCAGACGAAGAATATGACGACGAAGATGAAGAAGAAGAAATCATACTAAAACAAGACACTAAAAAATCATCCAAAGGAGGCATGTTTTCCATTTTCAAAGGGCTTGTAGGCTCTAAAAATCTGACGATATCCGACATGAAACCCGCTCTAGAAAAAATGCGCGACCATCTGATAACTAAAAACGTCGCTTCGGATATAGCCATCAAATTGTGCGACTCTGTGGCGGTTAAATTGGAGGGTAAAGTTTTGGGCACTTTTGATTCAGTGGCTACTATAGTGAAAAATACCATCACTGATTCTTTAGTGCAAATTTTGAGTCCCAACAGGAGGGTGGATATTTTGAGGGACTGTTTGGAGGCCAAGAAACATGGAAGGCCTTATGTAATGGCATTTTGTGGGGTAATTTATCAATTAATTTTTATAAATAAAGGATTTTTAATTACAATTTTAGGTCAATGGTGTTGGAAAATCTACAAATTTATCTAAAATTTGTTTTTGGCTGATTGAAAATAATTTACAAGTGCTTATAGCTGCTTGTGATACTTTCAGGTAAATAATATTGTCCAGTAATATCAAAAATTTAAATAAATCTATTCTAGAGCTGGTGCTGTAGAGCAACTTCGTACCCATATGAGACACTTAAACGCTCTACACCCACCTGAAAGACATGGAGGAAAACAAATGGTGGATCTCTATGAAAAAGGTAATACAAAATTTGCCTAAAAACAATACAAATTACATTAATTATTTAAGGCTATGGAAAAGATGCAGCAGGTATAGGATCTGAAGCAATAAAATTCGCCAGAGACAATAAAATCGATGTGGTTTTAATTGACACAGCTGGCAGAATGCAAGACAATGAGCCCTTAATGAGGGCTCTAACTAAACTCATTAAAGTCAATGAACCAGATTTGGTTCTGTTTGTTGGAGAAGCTCTGGTCGGTAACGAGGCCGTAGACCAATTAGTAAAATTCAACCAGGCCCTGGCTGATTATTCTTCTACTACAAATCCGCATTTGATTGATGGAATTGTTTTGACTAAGTTTGATACTATTGATGATAAAGTAAGGCCAGATTTATTGATGCAATAGGTAATAATTGCTTCACTAATTTTCTTCAGGTTGGAGCAGCAATATCGATGACTTATATTACAGGACAGCCAATTGTTTTTGTGGGCACCGGTCAAACTTATACAGATTTGAAAGCCTTAAATGTAAAAGCCGTGGTCCATTCCTTGATGAAATAAATGTGAAAAGTTTTTCTGTGGTATTTTGACCATGTTTATTGGTCAAAAATAGTACACAGGGCCCTGTCTTACTGTATCGTGTAAAAAACCGAAATATCTTTTTATTAGGTGTACTTTTTTTTTTTTGTAGAGTTATTATTTACATGAAGGTGTTTGTTTTTTTATTATATTTATGTTTTCCATTCCTTTTTTCTACAATTATTGTTAATGTTTAATTAAATATACAAGTACCAAAAATATGTTAGTTTTTTCCAATTAATAATGTAGCCGTCCGCCCAAGATAGTAAATGGCGCGCGGTTTTATTGATAGTGCCTATTTCCTTGGTCAGCTACTAATAAAATTGTGGAGGGGGTGTATTCACAAATGAGAGAAACAACTGTAGAAAGGTTTACACAATTATACTTTACTTTACTTAAATAATCAGAACCCAATTTGCCAGTACAAAGTAATAAAACTAATATTTTCCCAAAGTCTTACAGCCACCTCTATATTTGCTAATTCAATTTACTACAACACTTTTCAATTTTCAACATCCTATAAGATTCTTCCTTTATTTTTCGAAACTTGCATTATTCTTTTTATAAAGCCCTACTTCGATGATAATTCTAATTGATTAAACTTTTAATCAAAAATTCAACAATTTAGACAACTATCTTGCTTCAAGTATTTTGAGTAAAACTTCTCACTACTTTTAATGAAACAGAATAATATCATTTTTCAAATTCCAAGTCAACATTACACAATTTATTTAAATTCTGTTAATTAGCTATTAGACCCCTTAATCTTCAATAGACAAATTCAATTTAAAATCTTCAATAAATTTATTCTACTAATCGGCAATCGTGAAGTGCATTATAATTTCCTATTTAAACTTTTAGCAAAATTATTCAAAAGTCATTTCACTCAAAGTCAATTAAATTTTTGCAATAATGTTTCATAGTCATTTCACATTCATAGTCATTGCAATTAAATTCAAATAAAAGTCTTCTTATCTTATATGTATTTACTATAATAACTGTCATTAACTTCACTACACTGGCTCTAACTATCAAACTATTTAGTTTGGCCTCGAAGCAGAAATAAAAAAATAACTTTTTAGGGGAGACTCAAATCACTGCCAATTCCTACTGTTCTCTTTTATCAACTGCTGATTCTACTACTAAATGTAATTTTTAATTGCCTCTGCCTCTCATTGTAATCTGTTTAAATAGTATTCAATCCGACCATAAATCTCCCCTTGATTTTAAGTGCATCGCCTCTATTTCTAGGAATCGTTATCTCCGAATGACCCCTGCACCTGCGTGTCCTTATTTAGTAGGTATTTATCAGAGTGATGTCGCAAAAAATTCGTTTTCGTTTCCGCTATACAAAAACGCCGACAGCGCGTGTACACAATTTAAACAAATTAGCCTTGTAATTAATGTCGTTTGGTATTTAGTTCTATGAATTATTATAATGGGTCAGGAATCTTGTGACTCTTCCGGTTGCGTAATTATTTCCTTCGGACTGCTTTCGGTAAAGATAACTGATGACTATAGAAGGGGGTCAGTATAATAATTGTTAGATTATGTTTTGACCTCTATCGCTGACTTAAACAGTGAAACAGATAACTACATTAATTATTATTATATCAATTTGAGCTTGGAGAATTTCAATTGAAACTATTGAGAGTATTTTAGCTGTAAGTTGGTTTTGGTTTCACAGCGACTGCATATCGCTGTTAGACCCTGATCTTTCATCATGCAGTAAAGTTGGATCCTTTCCTTTTGAAAATGTCATCGTCTCTTCTTTTCCTACATTATCTTCCATTTTAACACTGCTATTTCCATTCCTCTCCAAATTTTTCACATAATTTTCCGGCAAGTTCCTAACTTTGGTCATCAACTCTTTTTCTACTTTCTGTATCGCATAATCAGCATCAATATTTCCATCAAACATTTAGATTTCCTTCTCGAAAGCATACATGCAATAATTATTATTCTGCCAATCTACTTTTATTCCATATTTGGCATGGTGGTATAGGGTGTAGGTTTGCGGTGATGGGCTCGGAGAATTGGACATCTTTAACGTCGCTCGGTTGTTGTCAACTAAAATTTATTAAAATTTTCTAATCCCGGAATATGTGAAATATGCATGAAAGGCAAACAGATTAAAGAACCCTACTGCAGAATACCTGATTTCAGAAAGCCAACAAAAATTTAAGAAACCATTTCTAGCGACGTATGTGGTCCCATCAATCCAGCAACACATGACTGAAACAACTATTATGTAAGTTTTATTGACCATACTACTCCTATTTTTGTGTTGTTTACTTAATTGCTCAGTTTATTCTTAGTTTATCTCAGTTCGCAAATTATTTTAAATTCTATCGATGTTCTCACAATACAAATAAAATAACCTTACAGTTGCTCTCAATGTACAAATAATACACCCCACACCTGACACCAATGTAGTATCCGCACCAAGTATTTAATTGCGAGCGGTCGTGTTTGATGGTAATTATTTCCTTGGAAAGCTACTGTTAAATAAACTTGTGAAGGCGGGTCTATTTGGAAGTGAGAGAAACAACTGATGTACGGTTATCCATTAATTAATATCTATACTTTATTCGAGAAAAACAGAGCTTTACCACATTTCAATGGTACAATTTTTATACCCTAATCCAACACCTGTAACGGTTTTAGTTTTCCGGGACTCAAACTTTAGTCAGAGCGGACAGATAGTTTTTTTTCTGACTGGGAAATCAATTTTCTGATTAAAAATACATACTGCATCAGGGCATAGAAAAATTAATTAATTAATTCATTAACTAATTAACTAAATTTGTCTAATAGAAAAGAAAATATATATGAGCCTACTCTGATTGGAATAGAGGAGATAATTAAAGCTCAAATAAGGAAAATAGATAGGTACTCAATTATTTAAGTACCAAGGCCGAACGAAATAAATTACTATAGTACCAAAATAGTTGTTGAACGCAAATATTTCAAGCACCAATTTTTTTTTTTGAGGAAACCCGAATTTTTAATTCCTCAGTTCGAGTATCGCTTTCTGCAGTGCTGCATCTGAAGTGTTCTCGAGGCATTTTTTTTTTTGCCGATCTATTTTGTGGAATTGTGCCCTAATTGGTTTTGGGTGGCTAACGCCTTTCGTATAGCATCCTGAGCAAAAAAAATTGCTGATTTTGACCAAGCTTTTTGGGCATAAAGCCAAAAGGATTCCTCAAATTCCTCGATAGGAAATTATCACAAAATGGCCGCCTGATATCTCTGGTAAGTGTCATTGTTCTTTATCAGGTGGAATGAAAGATATCATCCACAATTCCATTTCAGGCCATTTTATTCTTCCCATTCTTTGTCTCTACCCCCAACCCCCATTGTTGTTCAACTCTCTTCGGTTGGCTACCTCAATCTATTTCCTGAAGACCGGAAAAAGAAAGAAAACACGAAACTGCACGGATTCGCTGGCTTGGAGGTTGTTCCAAGTATTCACCATTGGCTCAAGCGTGACTTACGCCCAGAACTTACAACTGGACATTTAGGTGAGTTCGTTCCATTTGTTCCAGTTGAGGTTCCAGTTTATTCCCGAGTCACGATATACCTAAGGGAAAAATACCCCATGAAAACAAAAATTTAGGAGTTAACGGACACTTATTTGTTTTAATTAATTTGTACTGTTTGGTATACTTAATCAAAATTTCCATATTGTTTACTTTTCATATTTATAAAACCTATTTGGTACATAACTACCCGATACGTGTAAGCTGGCGCATCGATGCTAAGGTATCTCTAAATCGTTGTTCTATTAATCATCATATTAAGATTTTCTTTCGAATCTACATAATTTCAATTATAAATATTTTTATGTCTATACAATTTTAAGCTACGGAAAATACGTGAAAACTATAGGCTAAAGTGATGCCTTACCCTGTACATACAAAGTGTACCTGAAAGAATTAAATAAACCATATTTTTAATGCTCATAATTCAAAGGCTTCCGTGTTTTAATTTAGCTTGGCATTTGGATAAATTCGCTGTAGGTTTCCAGCTTCAAAGATCTATTAGCTGATCTGCATCTACCTTACTGAAGGGCATTAAAGCGGGTGGCGCTTTGTAAAATTATGTTTTGTTTTCCCCACGACCACTCCCGACTAGAGATAGTTAGCTGGCATTTTCAGCCCAAAAAGGTAGATGTTCCTTGTGTTTCTTTTTCTTATACCAAGTGTTAGATTTCCACCCGGACTTTTGCCACACAGTCTAGTAATTTTGAAATCGAATTAATTAACCCCAATTCGACCGTGGCACACCTTTCTAAATAAAAAAAAACAATTCTAAATAATGCTAACTGACAGCCACCTCTATACTATAAGAATCAAACGAGAAAAACCCATTGACGTCAGCGCTGACAAAGAAGGCAGATTTCCTTCTCTCTGGGTCCCTCCTTTTTAAAGTGAGACAAACGATTACGCGTGTGGCTTCTTCTCGTTTGATTTTTACTCTACTATATTAGGTTACAATATTTTTAACCAAAATTCATTTTTGCCTCAAAACAAAAATTTATAACATAATTTAATTATTAAAACTTCCAGTTTCATAAACGTATAAAACCCCTGAATTCGCTTACTGCCAAATTTTGTACAAAGCTTTAGTCAAAATTATAAAACTCAGCCAGAGTGAATATTATTACAAAACCTTAAACATGTTAATTAATTCTTTACTATCTACACTCAGACATAACAATACTATCTCAATTCAAAATTACGCATTTAATTTAAATTCTTTAGAGTCTAAAATATTTGACTATAATCATTTAATTCAATGTTCATTAAAATTTTCTATTTATTCTTAACAAAAAAAAAAAAAAAAGTATTCATAAGTTCACTCAAGATAATAACATAAAATATATGCAATAATGTTCTATAGTCAATTCACTTACATCATAGTCATTGCAACATTGATAAAGTCAAATAAACATCATGTCACTAGAGTACTTACATTCCGTCCTTTAATCACTAAACTATTCTAAAAATGTAACTCCTTTTGATTATTTAGAGCTCGCACATAATATTGAATGTTCTTTCCTCCACGATTTACCGTTACTTTATCAAAGTTCGATTTAGCACGTTTTCCCGAGGCAACAAAATAAAAGAAACCCTTTGCAAATTTTATCCGAACTGACTGATTAGGTACTGTGGTCTATGGACTGAAGACTCTAAGCTGAACTGATCTCAAAATTTCGAAACGACTGTGAGATAGGGGCTGTTTAGTGGAGTCATTTTTTTTTGTCTGGCATTTTGAGGGCTGAATGTGGCTCCTAAGCTGATGAGAATGTGGGTGATTTTGATGCTGGCCTCCCGTTCGAAAATTTGCAGAAGAAAAAAATTGATTTACATGAAGAATTTTTTTTTAATGGTCTCAAATTTTCTGGCTTTTAAATAAAAGATTGACATTGATAAATAATTCACCCATGAAAAATATCAGATGCTTTTCAATAGCTGAAAAAATGGGGATGGGTGTCAACTTCCAAGAGAAAAGATAAGAACCTTCCGCGTTTACTTTTTGTTTGGCAATCGAGAGAAAGAAAGGTTTTGTTGTGAAAATAACGCTGAAAAATCGCCAGACGGTAATCACAGTTCGAAATCGAGTTTTCCGGCGAAACATTCTGTGGACATTTCGAACGGGAGGCCGGCATTAAAACCACTTATATTCTCATCAGCTAACTAGTCACATTCATACCTCAAAATGCCAGACAAAAAAAAATGACTCCACTAAACAGGCCCTATCTCAGGGTCTATAATGTTCCATAAGTCAATTCACTTACATCATAGTCATTGCAACATTGATAAAGTCAAATAAACATCATGTCACTAGAGTACTTACATATTCTATCCTTTAATCACTAAACTATTCTAAATGTTATTCTTTTGAATATTTAGAGCTCGCACATAATATTGAACGAATTTAAATGTTCTTTCCTTCACGATTTACCGTTACTTTTTTAAAGTTCGATTTAGCGCGTTTTCCCGAGCAACAAAATAAAAGAAACTCTCGCGAATTTTATCCGGACTGACTCATTAAATACTGTGAAGACTTAAGACTCTAAGCTGAACTGATTCCAAAATTCCGAAACCGCTGTTTTTATATTTTTCGATCCTCCTAAAAATTTCGGGTCATGTCCATTCATCAACCTTCCTCTTTTCTAAGAAATATAATTATTTGTCCAAAACCGTATATGTCGCAATTTCCTGGATTATCGAGATCAACAGATTTGAAAGAATGCGGACACCTAAGTGATTCAAAGAAAAGCCTCACTCGCGCCGGCCTTAATTCATGATTTCATTATAATTCTGCCACTTTGGGATCCAATTTAATAACTTTTGCCTTGATTTTAATATTTTTATGGAATTGATTTATCAGTTCAATATGATGACACACGCTTGATGACTAAATATTAAAATTTAAACGTAGGGTGAAGTGGGGTAATTGCGGTTTGGGGCAAAAGCAGTGGCGTAACTAAGGGCCCGCAGGGCCCGCAGTTGCGGGGGGGCCCGTGACTTAGGGGCCCCGCAGGGCCCCAGACTAGGCGACAAGAAAGTACTAAACTGGCGACAAAAATATTACTTAACTAAAAGAAAATACTTAAACCTAACCTTTGAACTTCATAATACAAAAAAACCATTGAAAAAGTATGTCTTACCAATGTAAGAGATCTCAGAGAGAAATGATTAGACACATAGGCGCCGGAACCATGGGGGCAATGGGGCTTGAGCCCCCGTTGCGAATTTGCTATGGGGGCAGAGCCCTCATAGAGATTTTGGCATTGTATGTAGTGGGTGTAGTGAGTAGGTACAAAAATCTTGAGTTCCTGATCCTAACATTCCTAACTATTTATTTTTATATCAAACTTGTGTGTTTTATGTTTTTGTTGTTTTTGCTATAACCACTTTGACAAACAGTTTGACAGATACCCATTACCCAACATAACGGATCTCTTGAAGAAGCTGGGACGCACCAGATCTAGACAACGACATCGAAAAAACCGCATTCAGCACAGAAAACGGGCATTATAAGTTCTTGCGCATTCCCTTTGGTTTGAAGAACGCGCCGGCTACATTCCAAAGAGTTATGGATGATATTCAATATTCCAATATATTGAGCAACTTTAACACCAAAAGATGGAACATCCCATCAATAATAGTTATTCATTATACAAGGGAAAAAAGTATTAGATTTTAGAGCGAGATGTGGTCTGCCTCCCGTCGCGAAGCGGAGGGAGACCACAACAAGGTGGCTAAAAAGCACTGGGAATGCTGGAGGTGGAACAGGGGAAATCGTTATCTTTCGTTCTCTATTTAGCCTAAGAGTTTTTCTAGACATTTCATTCTATTGCATTAAAATTTGCCTGTTGTTGACCTGTCAAACCTGTATATAGGTAGGTAGTTCATTTTTTGGCCATGCCATAAGCTTTTTATACGTTTATTTCGAGCCGTGTGAAGATAACAATAACACCATTTTGGAGAGAAGAAAGAATCTTGAATCTTTTGTATGAACACTTTTTTCTAAAGTTAAAGGGGGTTTTACATGCTGCAAGAGTACCTGGAAGTTGCAAGAACTCTTGCAAAAGGCATGCGCAGTTGCAACCCAGCTGATTACAAAATGCAAGACTTCTTGCAATTGCAACTTATCGGTTCTGTTCGATATTTCTGCAAGTGCAAGACTCTGCAAGAGTATTTTTGAGGGAAAATTTGGTAATTTTTGGCATGCCAACATTCAATAAAAGTTACTACCTTTGAAATTAGGTTTATATTTTATAGATTAATGAGAATAGATTAGGCATAGGTACCTATGTCAGAGCCCTCTTTGAATCAACTTAAAATACAGATAAATCCAAGTAGAGATCATTTATTTATTTAATTATGCACTGAAAATAATCTACTATTTAAGGTACATAGATACCTCGGTAGGTACCTACGTTTCATAGGAAACACTAATGATATTAGGTAGGCACCTATGACATTCTGTTTGAATTAATTTTAATTTTCAATATGCAGGTAGAGATATTTTATTTTATTATACTGAGAATCATCAACACGTAGGTATCGACGTATCGTAGTCAAATTTTTTGTAACATAGTGGTGGCACCAATAATGATGCAAATACTAGCAGCAATAACCTTTTTTCTATTTCTACTATTAATTTTTGAAATACAATACGATTCATTTTTTATATATAACAAAAGTAATAGTAAACAAGTAGGTACCAACTACCAACACCAACAAGAATAGGTACCTATTGAAAAGTAGGTAGGGTTCTGTTTTCCTTTAATTTTTTTTTCTTTATGTTGGCAGAAGAGAGCAATTGAAAGATTTCAAAACACATGTAAGACCAAACCGCAAGACGGCACAAGAAATCTTACAGAAAGAGTCTTGCAGGTACTTGCACTTGCACCGTCTAACTGCAAGATTTATTGCAGCATGTAAAACCCCCTTAATAGATTTTGAAATATTCATTAAATAAGTTTACATTTTCCCTTATATCTCGGAAACGAATAAAAACTTGGCGCAAAACTGTGTACTTACCTTCAATGGATACTAAAATCTGCCACTTTTATTTAATTTAACCTACTTCGTCCCTCTTACCGGTTCGGAGATAGCAATAGTGGTATCACTTAAAACGGACACCCTGTATAAAGCAAAATTAGAAAGAAAAAAAAAATACATAAAAGATGGGCCCCGGGAAAATCCTTGCGGGGGGGGCCCGGATTTGAAGTTACGCCACTGGGCAAAAGTGGCACTTGTGGAGAAAAAATAGAAAAAAAACTACATTCCAGGGTCGGAACATGCCAAACCTACGTCTTAATATGTCTACTGTATATAAGGTTTATTGAATAAAAAAGTTAGAACTTGTGTGAACCGAAATTTCCTAAGTTTTGCCACGTTGCCTTTTTTAGGTATAACTCGTACTTGGACACAATGTTATACTTTAATTTTTATCGAAGCTCTACGATGTATTTCAAGTACTTCGAACACTTTTGCTTGTATAATTTGAAACCCTGAGTCTATTTTTGATGTCAAAATGGTTGAAATTTGAAGCACAGCATTACTAGACAGTCTGCCACATTTGCCACCCCATAGGAGGTTATAGGGGCAATTGTGGCAATTTTTCGGGGTAAACGTGGCAACGTCAGAAATCAGACGAATTTACAATGAGGTTTTTAGGACAAGTCAAAAATGATAGTTTTGTATGGCCTCAGGTAGACGACATTTTTATTGTTGGTCAGCATGATATTAAGAAAAAATTACCACCCCCAACACTCGTGACATTTTTAAATTTTCAGTGTCATTTTTAGGCTATAAAATGGAGTAAAAACATGTTGTTACCCCATGTAATATAATTTATTTACAATCATACATGTAATGTTGACTTTACTGACTTTTAAAAAGTTCGAAAATGTCACTTTTTTGACTTTTACTTTCGGCCCACGGGTCGAAAGTTTCAGTAGGGAACCTTGACTCTCGGCCACATTTGCCCCAAATCACGGGGTAATTGTGGCATTTGTCCAATGAAAAAAAAAAAATCGTGACACTTTATGTGCAGTAATATTCTTATATAGAGTGCTGATTCATTTAGCACAATAGTTAAGCTACAATTAAAAAAAAAAAAGTTTTCTATGTTCATAAATGCTTTAGAAATGCACGTTTGAAAACGAAAATCGCATTACTATGCCGCAATTACCCCGCTTCACCCTATTTTAGATATTTCAATTATTAATTTGTGTCAATGATAAATTAGCAAATTAGAACTTTTCTTCTAATTTTGAATATTAGAGATTTAATTTCGATTATTTGATTACATTTAAATTTACTGTTTTTGTATTTTTTAGTCCTTGTAAATTACGGGCTTATTTTTTCCGGATCATTACAATGGGATTCAGAAGAAAACACGACAAACAGAAAAAAACAATATTGAAAATTATATAATTCAGATTATCTACATATTATTATTAAACAACAAAAAAGTAAAATACAACCAGTTACAAAAATTCAAACAAGAAAAACATTGTACAAGGAACATACAGTTATTTTCAACTTAAAATAAATTTTCATACAAAAATATTTCATGCTATTAATTAGAGAATAATAACTAAGCAAATCATTAAAAATTTCATTGGCTAGGAATGTCACATATCTATGCTTTAAACTGACTTTTAACAGATAACAAATATTTTTTAGAATCGATTTTCCAAACCACCCTCGGAGCAGTTAGCAGATGCTATGAGTCGTTAGCTTTAGGCGGATTTTTGCCCCACAGCCAATTCAACAATACTTTTGAAGGACTTTGAACATCTCGTGCTAAAAAATTCAATAAATAATTTTTGCTGAAAAACCATACAAATGCCTTACATAATGTATAGCTAGCATCGACCAATTTTGCAGCTGCTTCAGGAGGCAACTTTGAAGCATCATTAATATGCTGCTGCATTATAGCTAATTGTTGGAACCTTCTAGCTTCTTGTTCGTCTACAAAGGTCTTATCTTTTTTGTAGCCGACATTTTTTAACTCAAATAATCTAAAAAAAAAAATTATCAGTAAGAAGTTTTTATTACCTAATATATTATACTTTGAAGCTAAATTTTCCTCATTGTCCAAAGGATTTTTAGCATCCAACAGTTCACTTTGATTAGTTTCCAAATTCCGAGACGATTCATCGTCTCCAACAAGTCCTGCTCGTCTCAATTCCTCCTTTTCCCTTATAGCGTTTGACAGGCGCAATTGTAAAGTGTCTCTTTCTTCTAACAACTGTGTTAGTTCGACAGTTAGTTCTTCGCATCGGACGTCGCGTTGGTGTAACATGTACAAAGCCAAATCCAATTCTGGTTCTGATAAACTTTCGTCTGGTTTTGGTTTTGCTGCTGGTTGTCTTGTGACTGGAGCACGTCCCATGTCCATTTCAGCTATTAAACTGTCGTATTGGTTGCTTTTATCAAAAAGCTCTTTTTCTAGTTGGTCTATTTTTGAAGCTTGCTCTTCAATAATTGATTTTAATTCTTCAAGTTGTCTGGTGTCTTCGTTGACTAGTTGAGTTTGCTGGGACAATTGCATTTCAAATTGTTGCTTTAAACACACTTCCTCATTCAATTTTTCACTATAGTTTTGATTGGCAGTTATTAATTCTTGCACTTGAGCTTTCAAAGTATTATTATCGATATCTTTATTGGATAATAATTCATTGTAGTGAGTTTGTAGGTCTGCTAATTGGTTATTTTTTAGTAATTCTAATGAATCGTGGTATTCTTTTTCGCGTAGCTCTAAAAGATTTTTCAGTCTGTTGATCTCTTGGTCGTAGTAAGCCATATTTTGCTCATACTGACCTATGTGATCAGTTTTATTTTGAAGCTGTTGCGTGTTTTGGGATAATTGCTGGGTGGTTTCGTAAAGTTGGTTTTGGCATTCAGAAAAAGAGCTTTGTAATGCTAGATAATCTTCTTTCATTGCTGCAAGAGTAGAATTCAAACTTTCAACTTCTTTATTTGAGTCATTTCTTGTGGATAATTCCAATAATTGCTGGTTTAAATCGTTAATCTCCTTGTGTTTTTCGTCTAAAACGTATTGTAAGGATGTTTGACTGTTGTTGTAATCTTGAAGTTTTTTATTGGCATCTTCAATAGTCTTTGAACAATTATTGTGTTCTTGTTTTAGTTTATTAAATTCTTGTTGTAAGTGATTATTTTCTTGGTGGATCAACTCAAGTTCATTGGTCAATCGTACAATTTCGGCTTCTTTTTCATGGACAATACTTAAATCTTTTTCTAAATCTTCAATTATTTGATTGAGACCGGTTATTTCGCGTTCCTTTTCGCCATTAGTTCTTGACAGTTCCTGAATAGTTTCGTTTAGTTTAGAAATTCCACTGTTATTGAATGTTAATTGACGATTGAATTCCTCTAAAATGTCTGCTTTTTCATAAGAAATTGGCGATGGAGCTTGTTTTTCTAATACAGAAACAATTGCCTCAACTACCTCACGTTTTTCATCAAATTGCCTTTGAGTTGTTTCAATTATAATGTTAATGCTAGACAGTTTATTGTCTTTTTCTGAATTTTCAAATCTTAAACTTTCCATTTCTGATAAGTAATTAGACAAAGTATTTTGAATCTCCTCAATTTGCTTATCTTTTTCAACTATAGTTTGTCTCAGTGTTGAAATTTGTTGCTGCAATGCTGACATTTTATCAACTTCGTTTCGTATTTCTTGGTCTACGTTTTTACGCAATTCATTATTTTCATTCACAAGCAAATTGCATTTTTCCTCAAACTCTAACAAGTCAGATTTGAGTTTTTCCTGGTTTACACTGTAATCCTTTTCGACCATTTCCAAATGCATACGCCAACTTTCAGCAACGTCGTTACCCCTTTGGTCAACTTGTAATTGCCAATTTTCATTCAAATCGTTGATTATTTTTTGGAATTCTTGTTCTTTGTTTTGAATTTCCAAGTCTTTTTCTAGTTTTTCTGACTTTAGGATTTCAATTTCCTTTTCAAGGTCACTTCTATTAGCTTGTTCTTGTAACTTAACTTGTAATTGGTCTATTAAGGAGGATTTTTCTACATTCATAGTTTCAATTTCCTGAATTTTGACTTGTAGCTCGTTAATCAACATTTGATTTTGTTCCACCTCGATTATTTTGCCTTGCAACTCTTGTAACACCCTTGCGTAATTCAAATTTAATTCTTCATTGTCTGAATTAGCTTTATTGAAAACTCCTTCGATTATTTGCAACTTATTTTGGGCTTCACTGAGGCTAATTTCAATGAAACTTTTTTCTTTTTTGACTTGCTCAGCTTCTTCTATTAATTGTTTAATTTTCAAGTCAGCACTGGTCAACTGCTGATCCAATTCTGACTTCCGATTCATAAGTTGCTCTAAATTACTCTGCAAATCGTTTATAATAAAATCTCTTTCTTGCAATTGCTCTTGGTGATTGGATATTTGAAGTTGCAAAATTGAAATTTCATTTTCACTATCTTTTAATTCGTCAAGTTTCACTTTAGCTTCATTCAATTCCTTATTCAAACTCTCATTTACCGTCTTCATTTCTTCACTGTATTTATTTTTTTCAGCTTCAATTCGTTTCGCTGTTTGTTCTTCAAGCAACGCTTGAAGTTCTTCATTGTCCAAAGCCAGTTCTCGCAAATTATCCTCTAGTTCTTTGATTTTATTTGGATCAGAAACGTCGTTTGATGTTTTCGGTTGTGGTTGTTCACTGGCAAAGCCCCAATCGGACTCTTGTAGTTTCTGCACCGCTTCCTGATGCTTTCTTTGCCATCTGAGCACTTCTGAGTCTTGAATTTCCTTCATTTCAGTCATGCGGTCATTGGCCGCAGTTAATACATCAACTCTTTTTAGTAAATTTTGTTTTTCTGATTTGTCTTTTTCATGTTCATTGGTGAGTTCTTTAATCCTCTTTTCTAGTTGTTGCACTTGAGATTTAAGTTCTTCCTGTATGGTTTCGTTTAAATCAAACTCATCTGACTTTTTGCCTTGTGCTTTGAGCTCTTTGTATTTTTTAATCAGTTTTCCTGATTTAATTTGCAACTGTTTGATTTCCTCTAAATGACCATGACGTTCTAATTCCAATGTTTTTATGATTTGTTTTAATTCTTCAATTGCTTGAGGTGTGTTTTCTTGGGTTTTGATGTGTTCTTCTTCTAATCGAGCTTCTTCTGGGCCCCAGCCCCAACCATCATCATTTTCCTCAAAAGCCTCCAAACTCTTAGGCTTATCCTCTTTGGTGAAACACAAATAGGCTTGCTTAGAATGAGCAACTGGTTCTACAGCAACAGCAGGACTCTGTTCAAATTCCAAATTTTTCAATAGTGTTTTATTTGAGGCTTCTTCAATATCGTTTTGGGACATTATTTGAGACTCAACCTCATCCGTAAAGCATAGATAGGCCTTTTTAGGTTGGATAGTTTCTTCAGTTACTGGCACTGCTTGTGGGCCATAATTTTGACTAATGGAGGCTGAAGGTCTTTGACTATTGGAAGCTAAATTATCTACAGCGTCTTGTGACAGAATTTGGGGTTCTAGATTGTCTGAATTTTGAGTAATTAATTGAGTGAGGGCATTTACCATTTCAGTGCATTGCTCCAAAGCTATTTCCTTTTCCTTGTCAACACTGTAAAGCAGAAATTCTAGGGCTTTGATTTTATTCAATAATGCTTCACGACCATCTTCCACTATGGATTCAGTTTTGAGTTGATCAAATGACGTTTGAGCTGGAATTATTTGATCTTCCATCTTTGCCAATATACCAACTTCAGTTTCAGGTATTATTTGATTCTCTAAAGTTGTCATTTGATGTTCTTGACTGAACCAATCAGAAGTTGAACCAAAAGTGTCAAAAATTGACGTGGTTGGTGTTGGTTCAGCAAAAACATTGAATAAAGGCACAGGACTTGGCTCAGTTGCCTCAGATTTGACTACTTGCTCCTTAGTAACAAATTCTTCTAAAGCTTGATTGCCTGGAACTGAATCGGAAGGTTTTTGGGATGATTCACATGAAGCTTCCAAGCTAGATTTAGCAAATTGCAGTACATGGATTTCTTCTTTTAATTTTTCAATTTCAATAGTTTTTTCTTCTAGTAGCCTTAATTGCTTCCTTAATTCATTTTCTTGTAAAATTGCAACTTGAGATGTTTGCATCAATTCTTCTTTTAATTTTTCAACCTCAGTCTTTAATAATTTGACTTCTTGTTGACCTTCAAATTCATCATTACTCATTACTTGTAAGGCTAAACTAAGATTTTTCTGACTAGAATCGGAATTGGCCTCAGTCCATTGGAAATTTGCAGATGTCTGAGCTTCTGCAGGCTTTGTTGATGAATCATACGAAGCTTCCAGGCTATCTTTAGCAAATTGTAGCCCATCAATTTCTTCTTGTAGTTTTTCATTTGCCTGCTTGAGTGCATTTACCTCTTGTTGTGTCACTCTCAGCTGATTTCTAACATCCTCAAATTCGTCGTTTGATTGTAAAATTAAATTGAGACTCTTCTGGCCAGAGTTTGCTGCAGATTCTGGCAAAACTCCATCAAATTCTGCAGGTTTTGTAGATGAATCACACGAAGCTTCCAGACTAGTTTTGGCAAACTCCAAAGCTTGAATTTCTTGTTTCAATTGGTCATTTTCCTGCAACAAATCCTCAGACGATTTTTTAAATTCGCTTGAAACTTCTTCCAAATGTTTATTAGCAGCACATAATTCACTATTCTGCTGTTGCAATGCTTCAAGATTCACATTCAACTCACTCATTTCATTATTGAATTCTTCAATTTGAACTCTCAATTTTTGTCTCTCACTCTCCAATTCCTCAATTTCACTTTTCAAAGCTCTTCTCTCACTATCAAACTCTTCTCTAAGCAGCTTCAATTCTTCACTATTACTCTGTTCCATTTTCACTTTATAATCCTCAAAATCCATGGTAAATTCTTGCTCCCGCTCTTCAAACTCCTTAATCCGTTCTAGCAACTTTTCATTGTCGTTTGTCAACTCATTTTTGATTTTGAATAGGTCCTCTAGTTGTATCTGATAGTCGGCTTCAATTTTTTCATAATCTGACAAATTCTGCTTTTGCAAGGATTCGTTTTCTTGTTGAATGTGACGCTGGTTGTCTTCTAGTGAAGCTATTTGAGATTTCAATTGTTGATTAAGCAATTCTAGGTCTTGCAGGCTGCTTTGTAAAGTTTTCAATTCAGTCACTTTATCATGGGCTTTTTTGAGTTTGATTTTTAGTTTTTTTATTAGATCTTCATTTTCCTGGTTCTTTTTTATCAAATTTTGTTGTTCCAATTGAGTTTCTTGAAAATCTTTTGTTAAAATAGACAACTCAACTAGTTTTAGTTCCAACTCTTCTTCAATTATAGCTTTTTCTTTTATACTATTTTCACTTGAAGTCAATTTTTCAATTAAATCAACATTGACAACTTCCAAGTCAAATTTGGCTTTTTCTAGTTGCCTTAAATCTTCCTCAAATTTTTCAATTCGTTCTTTGTAATGACTTAATGTAGCTTCATTGGTTTCCAATAATAATTCCAATTCGCGAACTTTATCATCTGCATTAGTTTGTTTGGAAAAATCACCATCAAATTCCTCATGAAGACTGGCAGACATTTCCTGTTGCAAGCTTTCGTGAAGTTTTGACTGGCCTTTCTTATTAATATTTTCTTCTTTTATAATTCTCAATTGCTCTTCCAATTCTTGGTAGGCTTGGGTTTTCTTTTTTAAATTAGCAGCAAGTTTTTTCATTTTTTCCAATTGCTCCTTGTTCTTATTACTCAAATCTGCAATTTGTTTCCTCAGAGACTCTTCGTTGCCCTCCAATTGCTGTTGCAATTGTAAATATTTACCTTTAATATCCTCGCTGACTATCTTGAATGATTGATCTTTTTCTGCAATATTTTTTTGAAGGTTTTTAATTATTTCTTCTTTAAGTTCTAGCTGATTTTCTAGTTCGAATATTTTTCTGTTTACTGTAATTAATTCATCATTTAGTTGTTTAATAATGTCACTATTCTGAGCTATTTCAGATTCATAATCACTTGCTTGAGTTAAAGCACCTTTTAAATCAGTTAGCTCGGATTCCATGGCTTCAAAGTTGTTCTGCTTACCTTGCAATTCACTTATAACTGAATTTAATTCTGAAATACTAATGTGAAGTTCTTGTATGTCATTTTCACGTTCTTCTAATTGTTTTTCTAATTTATGAATTGTATCAGCTGAACTAAGAAGGTCAGTTTTGTTATCTTCAATTGTTAGTTGATATTCGTTGATTTCATCTAGGTTTGAATTCAGTTTAGTGTCCAGGGTAGCATTATTTTCCACAAGATCTTTGAGTCGTCTCTCTAAATCGTATTTTTCTTGGTTGATCGCATCGAATTCTTTCAGTGAACGTTTCAGTTCGTCGTTTTCTTGGATAAGGCACTGGTACTTGATCTGTAGTTCTTTTAGAGCTGCGTCTAAAACTCGTACAGATTCTTCTTCCTGCAATTTTTGATTAGAGAGATTAGTGAATACTTTTTTTTTGTTTGACAATGGTACCTTTGTAATTTTTTCAGTAGTGTTTAGCTGTAGTTGTTCTTTTTCGTTTTGGAGCTGTTCATAGGTTTCTTCTAAAATGTCTCTGTTGTTTTCTATTTCCTTAATCTGAAATTTAATTTATTTTGTTAGGCAATTTCATTACGTGTCAAACGAAATTCAATATGGAAGTTCAGGTCAGACCATTGAGGTAGAATAATAAGGAGACGTTGTCATCATTTGAATAGGGTATGTCCATGTGACGTCACAAATGAGTTTGACAGTCGCCCTGAGGTAAAACAAATCATTTATTTACAGTGGTGTAGATTAGGCCGGTTATGTTTCATGCGGTTTTCACAGCTTTTTCACAAGTTTTTGTGTTATTTTGTTTCAAAAAAGTTAAAGCAAAGTGTTTATGTTCCAGTCTATGTGGTCTTTTATCCAGAAGTTTGCTAGGTTTTTCTATAATGGATTATATTCAGGTTTTTCCCAACAAATATCAAAACGAAGTGTCACAAGAACAAATATATAAGTATATTATAATAGTTACTCGACAGGGTGTCCCACGGTGGATGGCGTATTAGACGTTTATGGAGAACTGAAAAGCGGATCATTTTGAAAATTTTGCAACCGGGATAAACGACCATGATCTACACTTTAAAAATATTTTTGTTTATGCGTTGTTGCCGCTTCTACTCTAAACCAGTGGCAACATCGCTATTTTAAATGGAACACTCTGTATGTGATTAGATATTTGGATTCTACGTAAAATTCTGAGCAGATTTCATGTGATATATCCTATACCTAAATTCAACCGTTTTGGAAATATTGACAGTTGAAAATTGACTTTTTGCAACTTTGACAGGCTGTAAAACCTGAACGGTTAATTCTAGAGAAAAACTGATTTTACATTCCTATCTTAGATTTTCATGAACTATCATTTGACAACAACTTTAAATTTAATTGGAGATTGAATTTGATTGGAATTTTTAATCATGGATTAAAATTGAAGTTGGTATCAAATAATAAATAATAGTTTATAAAAATCTAAGATAGGAATGTAAAGTCCGTTTTTCTCTAAAATTAACCGTTCAGGTTTTACAGCCTGTCAAAGTTGCAAAAAGTCAATTTTCAATTGTCAATATTTCCAAAACGGTTGAAGTTAGGTATAGGGTATATCACATGAAATCTGCTCAGAATTTTACATAGAATCCAAATATGCAATCAGATACAGGGTGTTCCATTTAAAATAGCGATGTTACCACTGGTTTAGAGTAGAAGCGGCAACACCGCATAAACAAAAATATTTTTAAAGTGTAGATCATGATCGTTTATCCCGGTTGCCAAATTTTCAAAATGATCCGCTTTTCAGTTTTCCATAAACGTCTAATACGCCATCCACCGTGGGACACCCTGTATATTCAATCTATTTTTCTGTCAGCTCTTCTCTTTTAACAACATTAATCAATTTTTCTCTTCTTTCTTGAGCTAACAAATCAAACTTCCCATTGTTATTTGAAATTGATGGAAACCTATGGAAGGATATTGTATCCCTTGTGCTATACTGGAACATAATAATAGCTGCTTTTTTTCTAGCACCTATCTTAGCTAGCCTAAGTTGTTCTGAAATAAAGGACCGTATTTTCTAACATCTTAGGTAAGTTTATGTCAGTCAAAATTACCTCCCCCTTGCCTACGGTAAGGATGCCGGATTCCATCCTTAGTTCAATTTCTTACCTGGAGGTTATGTTTAAGGTAAGATCCTTCGTCCATCTAATGTGTATGTTTGAACTACAACTTAGATTTAGTGCGGAAATAGTGCAATTTTTTCTATTTCTGTCTTTTTCTTCTACAGGTCGATTAAAAGGATGCAAATACACTCGGTGCGCACTGAATTTACCAATCGGAAACGCCATGAGACTAGTGACAGTTCGGACACTAATAGCGATTTCCATTTGCCGAACCAGTGCAAAAAAAATGTATCCATATCCTTACATATTACATGCTTTTATAAAAAGATGGGGATACACTCAGTGCGCACTGATTGACAAATGGAAATCGCCATGAGCTTCGATGCCTCACTAAGGTGGGATAAGGGGGCATTACACGGCGTGTGGAGCGGCGCGCCTGGCGCGTGGAGTGTGAACTGGAAAGCCAAGCGCGTGGAGTGTGGTTGCAGTCAGACGGCCTGTGAATTGACAAGTTAGCGCCCCTCGATAAAAGTTCGCGCATTGCGTGTTGAGGCCTTCTCCCACAACATCTTCGTTTTAGTAATATCAGGAATTACTTTTAAAAAAAACTTATTGGCGAACTTCCCGCTCCCGTTCGCTCCACGCGCCCTGTGACTGTATTCCCCGAATCGCTCCAACACGCGCGGCGCGTTTCCTTTGAAGTGTGTAAAATTTACCGCTCATCGACGGGAACAGACGCGCGGCGTGAAATTTGCCGCGCCAGACCCTTCACACGGCGTGTGGAGTGCCAGTTCACGCGCCAGGCGCGCCCTGTAATGCCTCCTATAGACGACCCCGAGGCTTGACAACCCGATACAAAAAAACGATTGTTTACATGTCAAAATCGTGATCCAGGGCGCCCAACGCCCAGAGGGTTGTCAAAAACGAGGTGACACCACTGGCGTACACTCGATCGACCTACGAATGCATATTTAGACGAAAATATACAAAATTATATAGTCAGATGACAAATATTCATAAACTGTACATGGGATTAGATTAAATTCATACTAACATGGAAGGTTAAGGGAATTATAAACAAGATGACACCAGTGGCGTACACTCGATCGACCAACGAACGCAGATCTATACGAAATTATACAAAATTATATAATCAGATGGCAATTATTCAAAAACTGTACAGGGTCTTTCCCCATATATTGACCCCTCCCCTACAGGGGAGATCTATAAACCTAGCAGTCCCAAGGTGGAAAAAAAACTTTGGGAACTATATAATAATTAGGTGCTTTTTGGGTGCTGATTAGGGCCTCTAATTAAAAATTAGGTGCTCCTTTAGTTTTCGAGAAAATCAAAACAAACTAAAGGACTGCTAGGTTTACAAAAGCTAGCAGTCCCCTATGGTAAAAAATATTTTTTTAAATTTTTTCTTTGTATCAGAATTAGGTGCTTTTTAGGTGCTCCTGAATAGTCCAAGAAAAAATAAAATTGATTAATTATTAACTGAGTTACAGATTTTTTTTTAATTACTAGGGGACTGCTGGCTTTAGGTTTACTAGTGGTGTGTCAGAATGTTTTTTCCATTCTGACACACCACTAGTAAACCTAAAGCCCAGCAGTCCCCTAGTAATTAAAAAAAAAATCTGTAACTCAGTTAATAATTAATCAATTTTATTTTTTCTTGGACTATTCAGGAGCACCTAAAAGCACCTAATTCTGATACAAAGAAAAAATTTGAAAAAATATTTTTTACCATAGGGGACTTCTAGCTTCCATAAACCTATCGGGTCTTCAAAAAAAACCAATCAAAGATTGCTATGGTTTTTTAAACGTACGTCTTAGCATTATTTTTCTTTAATTTTGACAATGTCAGTCAATGAAATTTAATGTCAAAATGTCATGTCAAAAATCCTGACCAATAAAGAAACAATAATGCAACGTCCGTTTTCGTAACCAAAGCAATCTTTGATTGTTTTTTTTTTGAAGACCCAATAGCAGTCCTTTAGTTTTTTTTTTGATTTTCTCAAAAACTAGAGGAGCACCTAATTTTTAATTAGAGGCCCTTATTAGTACCTAAAAAGCACCTAATTCTGATACAAAAAAAATTTTTGGAAAAAATTTTGGAAATAGCTATTTACTTAACAAGTGCGGAAAATGAATTTTTCCGCACGCGGCTGCCGTTCACTGAACGACGCGTAGCGGAGTTCGGTGATGCAGCAAGTGTTAGGTAGCTGCTAGCTTTTATAAACCTAGCAGTCCCTTAGTTTTTTTTTGATTTTCTCAAAAACTAAAGACGCACCTAATTTTTAATTAGAGGCCCTAATTAGCACCTAAAAAGCACCTAATTATTATATAGCTCCCGAAGTTTTTTTCCACCTTGGGACTGCTAGGTTTATGGACCTCTACAGGGGTTATGTGAAAAGATATCAAGAAATTGTAAATACAAAAATTTTGGGTTTTTCCCTGCAATGTTTGAATCCAATGTCAAAAACTTTTTTGTTCTTCTAGAAATATCATATTTTGACAGATGGTTAGTTTTTTTCTTATGGAACAACCTATATATTACTCCATAGTTGAGTAGAGTCGAATTTTCTGATTTCAAATATACTTATATGATTTAACTACTTTTAATTCAGTCGTTTTGGAAATATCGGGCTCTAAACTTCAAGAAAAATACACTGAAAAACCTTCTGTCATGTCAAACAATAACAATGGTACCGCCTACCAAAGTGTATCAGGGGACTTCAATGTTCATTTCAATACTTCTGAGGCTGCCTGGGGCCTTATTCTGTAAGGAACGAACCTTTCGATTCGGTAGAATTTCTTCGATTGTGACGTCATTTTCGGTTTGGTTTTCGCGCTACCGACTTTGCCGACTTTTTCGGTGGCTTTGGTCTGGTGCAAACAATCTATGAGCTCACTCGGGAAGCTTCCTGTCTGGATAATTTGTTTGTCAGTTTGGGAGTCGAGGTATGTGATTCTGGGGTATTTGACTTGGGAGTAGTGATGTGAACAAGGGAACGTTCTGATTGTGCTTTCGAGAACATTCGAGCACGAAAAAAAGGTTCGTGCTGAATATTACCTTCGGAGCACATTGAGCACGATAGAGAATATTTAGCACGTCCTCAAGCACGATCCTAACCAATAAAATCACATGATGCCATAGAGTAGAGATATATTTATGGAAGCTGTTGAAGGCGGAGATATATCAAATATTGAGCCCGAGAACCAGGAAGCAACTTAGCAGCAATAGTTATTTTTTTTGTAAGCAAAGGTAGCGTTCTACTGGAAAAAAACCCAAATTAGAATAATTATTGTTGTCAAACATGACACAAGACACAATTCACAAAATATGAGATTAATTATTATCTATTCACAATCTGTAGTGCAAAGGTACATGTAAAATTTATCACCTTTCAATGCTATTTGATAGGGAAAGGT